GACAACTATATTTAAGATATGTTATATTTAAAAGTAAAAAGATAATATATTTAATAAAAAAAAATGAGATTTTCTTGTATTAATTCTTCGGTTAGTTACATGAAGAGTTTTAAATTTTTTTGTACTTAATTACACGAATTCAAAAATGAATTTTTAATAAGTTGTACATATACTTAATCAACTTATAATCTTTAAATTTTAAATAATATGCATTGATAAGTGGTACTTGATACATAAAAAATAGTTTTAAAAAGCTTAACATAAATGCTCTATAATATAATAAAGATCAGAGCATCTCCTACAACTATATTATTTTATAAATTTTGTTGTAGTATTTATTTATTTTAGATTACATAAAATGTTTTTCTTTTTCTATTTTGATTTTTTCAATGTTAAACAAACAATTATAATTTTCAAATTTATTTTAAGAAAAAAAGATGATTTTAAAAAGATTTAAAAATCAAATTTAAATGTATATGCTTCAGATTTCAAACTTTCACTCAGAAACTTAAATATTATAAAATCTCAATTGATATCATTATTTATAAACAAATCATATAATTAATTTGTGATTATTTGGTTGACTATAATCATAATCTGGGAATGGGACGACCACCTTTGTGGTGCTTCAGTTGGGTGTCATCTCCCACATCAAATTAAAGTGTTTAAAACATTTTATTCAAATTACATCATATATGTCGGCCATTTATTTACTTTCTTCACGTCAAATCTATTTCACAATTCGTTTTTTAAATATAAAACGAGTGAATATCGAGTTTATCGTTCTCCAAAGTTGAATGGCCCTTCGGGTTCGAATGCGTCCAAAGTCCAATTGCGATTTCCGATGAAGATTGTTTGGATAACTTTTAGGATTTTTGACTGTTTTTCAATAAAATAAATCTTATTAACATAATAATAATAATATAATTTTGAACGACATATGTAGATGTAGGAATTGAGAAAGAGTCCTTATCAAATATTTTTATCTTTAATTAAAAAAAAAAAACGATTGGTTACATATTTTAAATTGTTGAACGCCACTAATAACATAAAGAAGAGGAGGTATTATTAACCACATACATCAATTAAAATTTGAAAATAAATACACCTGATGATGAGTATGGTTGACTTCGAGTATCAACACACGATGTGGGTCAAATGAGTACAAGATTAAAAAATCGAATGTATTTAGTGGAAATACTAATAGAGTAACTGGTTGAAATAAAACTCATGAAATTAATATATTTTTATTTATAATATTAAATTTAGTTAACTTTTATGATGGACATTTTAATGATTAGAATAAATAAAGAAAAATGTGACACTTACTGAATATCGTACGTATTAAACAAATAACATAAGCATTCTATAGATCATCTGCAACGGAAGTCTTAAAACAATTAAACATCGCTTTAAACAACTAAAACTGAAAGTCTAAAATAGCTAATACTTAACGCGTTAGCTACAGCACTGCACAAGTCGATACGCACATCGCCTAGTAAAACTGATATAATATCCTCTTAAAGCAACATAACATAACAAAGTACTAACATGAGGAATTACATCTACTCTTTTCCCTTGTTGCTTTTCACGTTGTTCGACATGGAGGTACAGACCATTGAACATTACGTTTAGTTTGACTTTGATGCTAAAAATATAACATGTGAAATCGGAGGAATAAAAACACTTTCACGAAATGTGAAATCTGACCAAATGCATATGATCATGTAAAAATGAATGAACGTGATTTTGATCATGTGATAATGAACGTTTTTATACACATATCATAATAGACTATGTACAACTGTAATGGTGCATATAAACATGTGAGATATCAAAATCTGAACCGACACAATGAGTCATCCTAAATATATTCGGACCTACCAGGCACAATGATCACAAAATGTTCAAAGATACCCTTGCAATATATCTATTAACCATATGCATTTTCATGATGCCTCCTATCACTACTGGCGTTCTAAGTGCATTGCCCTACAAACATTCGCTTTTGCCACAATTAACTTTCCACTAACAGTTTTTAACAAAAAAGTATAATTTTACAACTCATATATGTTAATCTATCAGGTTCGCTTCGTTTTAATAATACTTTTTCGGTTAGATTAAAAACTTAAGCTAATGTAATCGAGTATTTGATTTCAGCCAAAACCAAATTATACGAAATGGCTTACCTCTTAATTTGAATCCCTGTTGAATTCGTTATATATTTTACACGTTTTAATTGATGGGTTTTCTTTTAAAAAATGTCATGTTTATCATGAGATGTGAACGTTTATTGGTATCCACCCCATGCCTACTTGTACTCCAACATATTAGCAAATTTGTAGTTTGTGACACGAGACATTGGTGTTTAACGATACTGATGCTTTGGTAAATTAAGTATGTGTGAAGATGATGACTAACACATATAACAACCTTGTCGGGATGTGTTTGGATATGTGTTCATATATGGATATAAGATAATCTTTTTTGCTTGTAAATTGGTTACGTAATGTTTTATTTCTCTTTACTTGATACCCATTTTTTGTCGAGAACACATTGATTGATTCAGTAATCGGTCCTTCTGCATTTACTGTATTTCAGATAAATTTTGATACCAAACAAGACATACTGACGTAACATCATCAAGAATCAAATCTTTTTGTGTTTAAGATAGATTTTTATGTAAAACAAGACATCAAATTTGAGATAGATTTTGATGCAAAAAGACATAGTGAGATGACATTTTGAATGGTCAGATCCTTTCACATCTATAGACTAAAATAGTATTGGAGATGGATGAATTTTTGAAGCATACTCACATCACATGGTGATGATTTTGAAATGTGATGGAAGTCCACGTGTCAAGTTGGACGTGTGTTGTGATAGAAGGGGTCCGTCGAAGGATGTGTGAACCTCGATATGGGTCCCACAATCGTTACCATTTATCATATACGACTTATGATTTGTTGTTTAAAATCCTAATGGTTTTGTATTAACCAGTGATTTTTAATTTTATAAACTTAATTCTTATAAAGTAATTTATTATGATGTTTAAATTTTTTTTGGTACAGTTTGAGGTACCAGGTTAAAAGCATACATTATTAACTTATACCATTTATATAAGAGAGTTGTTTTCCAATAAAAATAGTAGTTATGGTGAGAATGGTAAGAAATATCTTTACCATTAGATCAATTCTAATTGAAGATCAATTAAAAATACTCTTCTAAGATAATTCATGGGTTATTTGAAACTTAAAATAAAACCATTAGATCAACACTAATTAAAAGCGATCAGGGATTTAAATCATTTATTACAGTTCTAACTTTAACTCGTGTTCTTACACGATATTTCGTCTTATATAAAAAGTGATATGGATATGATTGACTTTAAAAAAATAATAATATATTTTTATAACTTTTATCAGGGTTTGGTTAATATACCAATTCGGAAACGATGGTGATGGTAATGGTATTGGTTTATTGGGTGTTTAGGACTTTACGTAATCCTGATAGGTCAATTGCTCGACGAATTTTAATTTAAATCGAAATCCAATTTGACTCTAAATAATACATACAAACATATGTGAGACAAAACTGGGTTGAGACGAAATCAACCCAACCCAACCCAACCCAACCGGAAGAGATCAACCAATATTAATATATCCTCGCTCGTCTCTTGATTTATCCCTTTATGCTTGAAGCTTGTCCATAAATAACTACCCACTAGTTTCATGAAATGTGAACCGGGGTTTGCTTTTTTGAAGATTAACAGGTACTACTCAACTGTTAAAACAAATTGTATTGATCAATTGTACATACCGTTTATATTTATGAATAATCACGATACATAAAAAATTCTTTGAATCTCTTTTTCATACTTCAAATCTCGAAAGTTGATTAAAATGTATTTTCTAATTGTACGTCATGTGTAACATTGCAGAAGTAAACAAGAAACACAATGCTATGAAAGTTTAGGTTAAATAATAGATGTCTAAAACCGTTGTTGTTGACCAATAAATTCAATCTAACGATTTTATTTTTCATATCGGTATGATAGATGATGAATGTAGTAGTGTTTTGCGTGGTCAAGTACCAACTAAATTCAATATTGGATGTTTTCAACATCAAATGTAGTATTCGTCGGAATTTAATTCTATTTGTTTTTAAGGCTACGATTTAAAATTTTCTAAGATATTTGTCGAGTACGGTTAGATTATACGTTCACCTTTTTAACAGGTTGAAATTTTCTAAATTAAAGTAGTTGGTTTAAGTTGTTCAGATATCCTTGACCGACGAAGTAAAATAAAACAGTCACATTCGTGTTATTTTTCTGGCATGAAAACTCTAAAGTTTATACAAGAGTTCATAACAATATTGTATTCTTAAAAAACACAAACTATGAATGTCATTCTTTATTTGGTTTACATGTCCCGAAAATAGAAATAAATAATTTAACAATCAAAAGAATAAAAAATAGAAAATAAATCGGATGTAAATGGGCCGTTAGTATTTGAGCCATCGTAATTACTGAATTTTGTTATGGTCCAACTAAATTCAATATTGATTCGATTAAATTGGTTGATACATGGTATTGAAAATCGTCTACGATGGTAATATTGTACCGTACCGACTTATATATATATATATAATTTTCAATCCATTTGTCGGTACGATACCATGTTAATAAATTTATAATTTCAACTTTTAAGAAAGATGTTGGTACAAAATCGTACTAATATGTACTGATCGAAAAAAGTTACTACCAAATAAAGTTGGTTGAATAATTGATATCCAGAACAGCCCATAAATTTAAGCCCAAATAAATTGTTTTTGCTTTTATTAGTTACTGGGCCCTTCGTAACTTTTATCCATTTAGATTTCACGGTAATTTCTATATACGAAACCCGCGTCTCATATACACCCCCCGGCCCCCTCTCACGAGTCTCACGCCACCACCCACCGCAGCTGCCCGGACTAACGGGCGACGGCGGCCACCGCAGATTCACCCCGCACCGGCGCCAACCACTCCCTTTCCCCTTCTCGGACTCGCCTACTCTCAAGTTCTCAAATCTCACAGGTTAGGGTTTCGATTTTCAGTTTCTGAAACTTTGAAATTATTAACAGAGGCATATAGCTCGTTAGATTTTTGTGTTTTGATTTTCGTATTGGAATTACCTTTACTAATTAATAATTTATGTGTTTGATTTTGAACTTGAAATTGTTATGTGAGCTCTTTAGATTTAGATTTTGTGTTTTAATTTAGAAACTTCTAATCACTTTTTTTAACATCATAATAATAAAAACAAAACCAAAGAAAACCAAAATATGATGAATTTCGCCAGAAAAGTATTCTGACTCATCAATGGCAGGAATAAAAGATCAAGACCCTTTGACCCCTTCTGCCCATTTTGATTCTATGTGTTTGCAACATATAATATACTGATCCTCATATATTTTATGATTAAATTCGAATTTTGCCAACTATTTCACATCTTTACTCTCCCCGGCGTAGGTTTTAAGTTGCTCCGATCATTGTTTTTTCTTTAGTCTGATTTTTTTTCTTTCTTTCTACTGGAATCTTCATATGCAAATTCTTCAGATGTTGTGATATGAATATTTACTCCTCTTTGGTGTTGTTAAATGTTAACAGCAGGTGTTGGGTATAAATGGAACATGGGATATGATCTTTACCCTTCTAATCACATACTGTCTTCAGTTTTGTGTTTGATGTTTCAAAACGTCAATGCAGTTGTTCTATACTAATTTTAGTGGACCTTTACCAGTCTTGGATAAATATTTAATCAAAAGAAAGAACCCTGGTGATTCATTATCTACGGCGAAAAAGAATGATGTTGATAGTTGTAAGCAAAGTTGTCTTGAAGCCATCTTAGCCGATCTTCCCAAGTTGTGTTGAATTGGTGCTCCCCATCGTATAAGTTCTTGGCTCCGTCCCCGAGCTTTCGCCTAAAAGTCTAAATGTTAACTGCTAGGTCATAGCGAAGTGAAATTGTTAGTATATTTGACAATTATGGACAAGTTTTTCACAATGGACAACAATAACTTGGTTTCTTATATTGAAAAAGATGTCTTTACGGATAATGATAATGAAGACATCTTTGATATTTTTGGTTGAACATTGCTATCCATATAATATCATTATATTTTTGGTTTGTTGTTTTATCAATGACGACCACCCTAGACATATTCCTGGCTCTGCCTTATGGAAGCTTTATTAACATTGCAAATTCTTCTGCTAACTCTATTGAAGCTAACCCATCCCCTTCATCTCCCTTTCTTGGTGTCTTTGGATGCTTTTAATTTCAATTGACAACCCAAGGAAGCAAGATTCTGATTAGGTTTGTAGTTATTAAATGATTGGAATACCCTGTTAAATTAGTGAAAAGATGTTGCTTTTTTATGTTAATGGCCTACAATGATTCTTGATCACAAGAGTGAAGATCAAGTTAGGGATAAGGAATAAAAAAATAAAAGTTGTATTCGATGGATAGCAGATTTGTGTACACGACAAATTTTTGGGGCCTATTTAATGGATATCAAGGAGATGCCTGGTGATTTTGAATCACAAATGATACAAACCAAGTTGGGGTTCTACTATCTGGTGAGGTTGGGGTAGAAACATTCTCTTTGAACTAACATCAACAATTATAAAAAGACTTAACAAGATTTTTTTTCTCATCTTGTTTTTCAGATAAAAATACAACTTCTTGAATCAATGTGTGAATTAAGTTTGGCATGATGCTTGACTTTTTAAGAGACTAACAAAAAGCATCGTTGCCCTGTAGGTAGGATTGATGATTCCAAACCCCCTTTTATTTGTATATTGAACTTTATAATGTACACATGTAACCATATGGGGMGTAGTTCTAATTCATTGTTGTCTATCATGATGTGCACAATGATGCCTACATACTCGGAACTATTTGTTTGTAATATATGATACTTGAAGCTATGATGTGCTAGGAGCAAGCTTAGCTTATGAAAATATTCTATTTCCTTGGTACAATTTCAAAGGTTTGTCTTTTAACATTACAAACCAGTGCCAGTTTTTAGATAGCTATAACAACTTTGAGTGAAAGAATTTGTGCCATTTTATGAATTTGATTGGTATGTTTTTGTTTAATCTAGAACTTGAACAAATAATGATATGTTTAATCATAGAGAGGGTTATCAACAACCACATTTTACACAAATATTAAATCATACAGAGGGTTAGAATGGTAATTTTCTGTCATTCATTTAGAATACTTTCCAAACAATCATTTTTCATTGTATACTATATCATACGTAGCCTCTTAATCATTCAGCATCTACCAAACAGCTTGTTAGGGTTTTTTTTTTCTTCAGTTACCTCTGTAGGAAGGAGAACCAACTGAACAACAATGAAGAATCAAATCAAAAAGAGAAATAACAACAAAGCCCTGACGCCAGAGTCGAAATTTCGATCTGATTTAAGTATTTGCTCCAAAAAGAAAGACTTTGCAGACGCAATCTCCCTATTCGATTCTGCAATTTCTCAAAACCTCAAACTCAATCTCCACCATTTGAATTGCTTCCTCTACATATGTTCTAATTCCATTGAAAGCACCACAGACAAGGCAATTGAGAAAGGATTCAGCATTTTTAATCATATGATATCGAGCAAGATAAGCCCTAATGAAGCCACTATCACTGCCATATCTAGGTTAGCCGCAGCTAAAGATGACGGTGATTTGTCATTTGAGTTGGTTAAGAGTTTGGTTAAGTATAATGAAAATCCTAGGTTGAGAACATATGATCCAGCATTGTTTTGTTACGTGAAGAAATTGGATGCAGAAAAGGCGTATTTAGTGGAGAAAGAGGTTTTGAATATGGGGTTGTTTTTGGAAGAACCGGAGATTGCCGCGTTGCTAAAAGTGAGTGCGGAGGTAGGGAATGAAGAGAAGGTGTATGAGTATTTGCATAAGTTAAGAATGGGTGTGAGATGTGTGAGTGAATCGACTGCRGAGRTCATTGAGAATTGGTTCASGGGAGAAATGGGGGCGAAAGTGGGTGGTTTGGAAAATTTGGATATGGGTCGGGTTAAAGATGTGATTTTGAGGAATGGGGGCGGGTGGCATGGGATTGGGTGGATAGGGAGAGGCAAATGGGTGGTGCAGAGAACAACTGTWGGTTCAGATGGTTGTTGTTGTGCTTGTAATGAGCAGTTGGCTTGTGTTGATATTGGTAGAGAAGAGACAGAGAAGTTTGCTCAGTTAGTGGTAGCATTGGCGATTGAAAGGGAGAAGCGATCAAATTTCACTCAGTTTCAGGTGAGCAAAGTTTTTTGGTTAATATTTGATGTAATTTTCTTTTGAGATTACTTGTGAGAAGCATCATCTGTTAACTGACAACTGAAGTTTGACGGTGTTCGTTGTGCTTATTAAGATTGCTGATGAACTGATGACGAAGCATTTTCATAAGATTGATGTGATTAATTGTTTTAGGGTTTATATTTGCTTTATTCTGCCCATAACATAGCATGAACTATTATCTTTCATGGAACATTACTTATCTTTATTGTTTTAGTTATTCACCATCAAATTGCCTTTCAAATAGAATTGGTTGGATCAACATCATGATTTCGAAGCTATAGTGGATGGGGCAAATGTTGGACTCTACCAGCAAAACTTTGCAGAAGGTGGATTTAGTGTTTCTCAGGTTGTACATCTCCATTTATTTATTTTTTTGGTGCTTATTATGTTTTATGATACTTCATAAACAAGATGCCACTAGTTCTGACTCGCTCATTTCTGCTTTTCCCGAATTGCTATAGAGCAGCTTGAAGTTGTCGTTAATGAGCTGTATAATAGAAGCAAAAAATGGCCGCTCGTTATTTTACATGACAAACGTATTCGTGCCCTTCTAGCAAATCCTTCCAACCGAGGGCTACTTGAGGAGTGGATTGAAAGAGGGTTTCTGTATGGAACACCAGTTGGTTCAAATGATGACTGGTTAGAAAGTTTCTGTTGTTATTTTTAAATGAGGATACATGTACATTATATATTCCTGTTATACATAAAGCAAGGTAAATGTATAACATTTTTATTCTTTTGCATTGATGTCCTGTTCTGTTGGAATATGTTCTTCTATATTTGACTATTTCTTGGTGAATTAGATTATTTAACCCATTTTAAGATTTGTTTTCTGATATCCAATCTCCATGCTAATGATGATTCTTGGTTCTTATCTAGGTATTGGCTTTATGCTTCTGTAAAACTCAAGTGCATGCTTGTGACGAATGATGAAATGAGAGACCACATTTTTGAACTTCTGGGCCGCAGTTTCTTTCCCAGGTGGAAAGAAAGACATCATGTATGTATATATTTTGTCTCATCATTTGTTAAAACTAACGCAGTCTATGTTGTCATCTGGTAACTTTTTTGTTAACTTGTTCGTTCAAATGGCACTTAATGTACACCCGCTTTAATTATGGAGGATTTCCGGTTAAATCATGCAATTGACTTGTGGGATTAGCTCAAATCGGGCATTATAAGATCATCTATTAGCTAAAGCTAAGCTTATCCTGCTGTTGCTTTCCATCATGCAGGTTCACTACACATTTGCAAAAGGCAAACTGAAATTTCAGATGCCACCATCATATTCTCTTGTTATTCAGGTACTTCACTTTCTTGTTGCCTACTATTTTCGCAAATGTATGATTACAAAACTTTTCATTACTAAAAAGTATGGGAACCTAAATACGAGACTCGTTCATGTATCAGGAATCTGAGAAAGGGACATGGCATGCACCCTTAGCGGGCGAATATAATGATGAGTCATTAAGAACATGGCTTTGCATTACTCGTCCAGGCTGCTGTGAAGCTTCTGATGCATTAGTCTCCAAGTTTGCAGAAGTGTCGGAAACTAATAGAATACATGATGAGAGTTACAATTCATCAACCAAAACGCAGGTTGGTATAACCGGTAAAAGAAAGGAAAGATCCCCATCTCCGATCAGGTAGCGGAAGTTATAGGAGCTTCACTTGCAAGAACCAGCTTTCAGACACTTTTTTGGCAATCACTGTTTCTTAGAAAGGTTGGATATTTTAAAATTTATTAACGGTTTTCTACTTATTCAGACTCTGTCTGGAAGGAATATATGTATGCATTAACTTAATTTAATATCTACATTTAGTGTTCATTATTGAAAGAGATTTTGAGATGGAAACATGAAATCCGTCTTTTGAGGGCTTATAACGGTTTGAGCTTGAGGATTGAGTTTAATGTGGATAAATTCATGATTTAGGTTTGGGAAATGATTGATCTAACGTGTTTTATGGTTAGATTCGAATTATATAGTGAATTAGGATGTTTCTTATCGATAAGATATGTTAGATTGGTAGTCGTTTTTTTAGGAGAAATGAAGTTTTGGATCAGACCTGGACATTTGGGGATGAAGCAGCGCAACAACGGAAGGTTGCGCGACCAGGCACGCGACCTTAGTTGCGACACAAGTCCCGTAAGCCACTTTTGTAGCGCGACTTCGTCCGTTCCGTTTCTCGTTTTGCGCCAGCAAGGAAGTGTCAATCTTAGATGGTTGCTCAGGGGTTTATAAAAGTGGCATTTTGGGATTATCTCAATTTGGTTAATTTAGGTGTTCGGTTTGGACTTTTAACCGTAAGGCTTGTGGTGGGGCGTGGAGCACCAGGTGAGTTCTCTTACCATGATTTTTATAAACATTGTAATCGTTTTTAATACTTTTTAGCATTGATTATTGTTTTACTCGTCAATGGTTTTATTATCAAAACTACCATGTTGTATATTTGGTGTTATTGCGCAATATGTGGCTACTTGGGGTGTTGTGGCATTGCACAGTAGAAGTAGGGTACCTTGAGGTAGTGATATCTCTTGAGAGTAATAATCCATGTGCCTTGAATTTGTTTCTCGTGCATAGTGGATAGGCATCTACTTGGAGCCTTGATTCTAAATGTCACAAGGGTGTGAAATGTGGCTACAAACGCTCTGCAATGTCTGTGCGTTGAGAATGTACTTCTTTACGTTATTATGGAATTCTCATAGTTGATGTTCCATTATTTTAAAAGTTCGAATGCTGAAACTGTATCCAAGGCAATTAACTAGACCTTTTCATCTAAACCTCGAGTTTCAAAACTAAACCATTTTAAGAGAAGTTTTATGTTGAGAGTGACTCGAAGGGAAATGGAAGATTTGACCTACTAAGGGGCTGTTTACCAAACGCTTACTCGGGTAAGTGAACACCAAGTCATCTTACCTTACCGGATGAATATGGTAAGGATCAAAAATCTTACCCGGTAAGAGCGAGACAAGGACCAAGAGTCTTACCCGGTAAGTGAATGCGACGACTCTTACCACGGTAAGCGCTTACCGGGTAAATTGTTGCATACGATACCATTTTGGTGGACTAAAATCTTATCCGGTAAGTAAATAATAGTGTTAAATTTATCGGTAAGCGTTTACCGGATAAGTGTTTGGTAAACGGCCCCTAAGTGGATCGTTTGCCAACTTAGTTTCCAATTGTCCTTAGTTTTTAATAATTCTCCATTGTGGATGCATTTTTATCTGCTGCAAACTTTAGTGAGGTATTGAGAAACCTTGTACTCATTTGGTGTTTGGAGCCGGTTTGGCTTTAGCTTATGAATATTGTTATTTTGGTTCTTGGGTCGTCACAGTTTTTTAATTGGAAGGAGTAGGTTTGGAATTTTTTTGGCTTTCTGCATAAAGCTTCCCTTAGAAGTTTATTGAATAAGTCACTTTCTATATCATTAAGTCACTATTAAACCGTCATGTATAATTGAGTGAAAACTGTGAGTCTCATTAAACTTATTAAGCTGCGAACAAACAAGCCTTAATAATGGTTTGTCTAATAATTAAGCTCCAGGGGAGATCGTGATCAAGCTAGTGACAATGCATACAGTCGACCTATAAGGCTTATTTTAAGAGTGTGCTTGTTCTCTGCTTCGTTCCTCCGGCCATGATGCTTTACATAGGCATGAGAACGGCGAGGACCCCAATCGCCATCCTCGTCCCCGCTTTCCAATCCCCGTCCCCGACATTGAATATGATCACATACGTTCAAGTTTTTTTTCTTCTCGTTTGTGAGAGATATTTAAATCAAATGTGAATGCTCTTTTAGAGGTAACTACAATTTGGATGAGATTGACCTGCTTTAACAGTATAATAAAAAAGTCAAAATACTATTTCTAAATCTAAAATATATAATAACAAATACACATGCAATATATTTGACGATAAATATATTTAATATATGAGGACGGGATAAGATGGGTCGGGGATGACACAACTAGTTTCTGGTTTTTAACTTTTGGGGATCCCCAGTCCCCGGTTTTGCAGGGAATTCTGTCCCAGTCAGAATGAGTTGACCTAGGGGTTTCGCAAGGGGCGGGTTTTATTCCCATGCCTAGCTTTACAGTGGGTGCCAAGTCTCGAGTGGGATTTACCTCGAGGATCATCAATATACTAGTCCTGTTTTTTTTCTCTTGTGAATGCACACTATCACATCAATAGTGGAACCACTTTAAATTGATGCGTTGGTTTATTTGATTTTATTGCATTTATGTTGTCAGTTGCCATTGCTGTGCCTTATTATTTGTTTGAGACATTGAACACAATTGTCTGTTATTTACTGATTGAGTAAGCACTTACTCAATCAGCGCTTGATTAAAAAAACTCTTAAATTTGTTAGAAAAAGAAATGAGCAAAAGAAGAGTTGTAGAGCAAATTAATAAGAATAGAAAAGGAAAGACACGAGACATTAAATTGCAAGAAGCTTAATGATTTATTGTATGTAATCTATATATATATATATATATATATATATATATATATATATATATATATATATTAAAG